CAGGTTTCGAAGAGGCATGGCTCACCTCGGCCTCGGCCTCGGGGCCTGGCGTGCCGTTCCCTCTGCTGGGAATATTCTCTGTGGCCCTCCCGTCCCCTGCGTTGGCTCCTCCTTACCCTTCAGGTCTCAGCTACCTCGGCCACACAAGCCACCTTTGTTAACGCTCTCTCGTGGCTCACCGATCTCCTCTTCATAGTGCTTGTGTAGCCGCAGTGTGTAATTACATGTCTACTCGTCTGACGTCCGTTCCCCCCAGACTGACATGTTCGAGAGGAGAGGTGGAGCCCAGGCACCAGTGGCCGGCATCTGGTAGGGGGGAGGCTACTGCCTCGAGCAGGCTTGGTTTCCCTCTCGGCCATGGAACAAGTGGGGCCGGAACGAGGCGCCTGAGACAGGCAGGTGGAGGCAGGCTAGGGGGTGAGGAGAGGAGGGGCCGGTTTCTGCAGACGGGGAAGAACAGGGAGGGGAGCTTGGGCGGGACCCTCACAGCCCTCTTTTACTGGGTGCTGACTCCGGCCGTGCCGAGCGCTCACCCACATGATTCATCCGCGCTCGCAAGCGGCCACGTGAGGCAGGTACCGTGATGGTCCCCTCCCGGACCGAGGCCACCCAGCTGGTAAGTGGCAGTGGCCCGGCTCCTAGTCAAGAGCGTCTCCTTGCTGGTGGTCGCTGCTCGCCAGGTGGCCTGCTTCCCGGGGACCCTTGGGGAGGAGGAGGGGACTACTTCTAAATAAGTCCTTTTAAAAATTAAGTTTCTTTCTTTTTTTAAATTTCTTTTTCTTTTCTCTCTTTTTTTTTTTAAAGTTTATTTATGTTGAGGGGAAGAGAGTGCAAGCATGGGAGTGGCAGGGAGAGAGAGAGAGAGGGAGAGAGAGAATCCCAAGCAGGCTCCACACTGTCAGCTCAGAGCCCTACCTGGGGCTCAATCCTTGAACCGTGAGATCATGACCTGAGCTGAAATCAAGAGCTAGCCGCTTTTTTTTTTTGAGAGGGGCAGGGGGACTGGAGAGAGAGAGACTCCCACGAGGGGCAGAGAGAGAGAGAGGGAGAGAGAGAAGTGGGGCTCACCCAAAGTGGGGCTCGAGCTCACCTGATGTGGGACTTGCACTCACCAACCGTGAGATCGTGATCTGAGCTGAAGTCAGATACTTAACGGCCGAGCCATCCAGACACCCCTCTTTTTTTTAATTTTTAGAGAGAGAAAGGGAGAGAGCGTGTGAGCAGAGGAGAGGGGTAGAGGGAGAGAGAGAATGAGAATCTTAAGCAGGCTTCACGCTCAGTGCGGACCCCAACGTGGGGCTCGATCCCACGACCCTGGGACCACGACCTGAGCTGAAATTAAGAGTTGGACACTGAGCCGACTGAGCCACCCAGATGCGCCTAAAATTAAGTGTCTGCTTTGGGCCGTTTCAGGAGGTGCGTGTGTGCCTGTGTATGTGTCTCAAAGTTAAAGTGCCAAGAGAATATTCCAACATCAACATGCCCCACGCTAGCAAGAACACATCTTGCATTCACCTCACCCTCACGTTCCCGCCTCTTCCAGACACGGAAACCGCTGCACAGGTGGGTGAAGATCACGGCTAATGAGGCGCGGGCTTAGGATTTGCAGCTAGTCTCCAGGATAGGTGCTGTGCACAGGCGAGCCAGTCAGATGCCAGTCTGAGGCCCAGGACACCACAGACACGCCACCCAGACCCAGGGCTTCACCTCCTCTTTCTACTGGAGTCCAGCTTCCGTCCTCCCCCCGCAGCCTCCTTCCTGGTCTCTGTCCTCACATCCTGCCCCCTGTCTCCCAGAGGGACCCCGTTAACACCGAGTCAGACCCCAGCCTTCCTCAGTCAAAACCCTCCGCTGTTTCTACCTCATTCAGAGTCAAAGTCCTCACCATGGTCCGATCCTCACTATCCGGGCTGGTTTCTCTTTGACTTCAACTCTTCCCACTTCCCCCTTGCTCTAGCCACAATGGTCCTCAAATGGAGTAAGCAGGCTCCTGCCTCAGGGCCTTTGCACTGCTGTCTCTCTGCTTCGGACACTCTAGTCCCAGACATCCTCATGGCTCGCTCTCTCACCTCCTTTGGGTGTCAGCTCATAGGTCACATCTCTCAGAGCCTTTCCTGAAATGCTCCCTCTGTCTTCTCTAGTCCCTCACCCCACCGTATTCTCCTCCACTGGTGCTCACCACCCGATGTGTTTATTGTCCCACCTCCTCACAACAAATGGGAGCTCCCTGAGGAGACAGATTTAGATGATCTCCTTCCACCCTGAATCCCCCGCGCCCAGAACAGCTGTAACACACAGTAGGTACTCAATAAGGACTTAGTGAATGAATGAAGTAGTGACTTAGAGAGGACCCGCAATCAGAAGGTCCTGGACAAGAGGTCGGGCGTGTTGGATTTGCGGATGTGATGAGGTACAAGAGCAAAGGAGGCTTGGTGACGCAGGAGAAAAAGCTGTTTGGAGTCAGACAGACCTGGGTCGAATTCGGACAGCCCCATTTTGCCATGATCCTTTCTCAAATACGCTACTAGGGGTGTGTTTACCAGCCCTGGGCCTCAGTTACCTCACCTGCAAAATGGGAATAATGCCCATCCCCCACGGTGGTGATAAGAGGTAAGTGAGATTGTGCACGTGGAGGCACTCGGGTTTCTATTTGGTTCACAACAGGTTCTTTCATAAATATGCCTTCAGACGGTGTCAGGTGGCTTCTCTGGCCCAGAGATGTCTGAAGGTAGTTTTCCCCAGCAGGTAGAACATGGGACTGCATGGGAGAAATTTACATGAACATGAACATGGCTTTGAATAAGTCTGAACCGCACAGTGAGAGACGTACCCTCTTCTCACTTTTCTCCGAAGCTTTCTGATTATGTTAAAGAGGAAGGCTCAATTTCTGTGCTGGCGTTCCTTGACCTCCCTCATACTTGCTAATCTCCTCTTTTATTTTATTTTTTTAATGTTTATTTATTTATTTTGAGAGAGAGAGAGAGAGAAAGCAGGGGAGGGGCGGGGGGGGGGCATCCCAAACAGGCTCCATGCTGTTAGCGCAGAGCCTGATGCAGGGCTGAACCGTGAGATCATGACCCGAGTGGAGATCGAATTGGATGCTTAACCGACTGAGCCGCTCTGGTGCCCCGCTAATCTCCTTTCTTAACAAAGGAGGAACCGAAGCTGCAGCCAGCTACAATGTAACACCACTGTTTGCTTCTCACCCTGTTTTCTGGTACTATCTGTCTATGGGTAAGCGATCCTGTCTTTCCTCCTACAGAAGCGACATATAATACACTTAAGAAAGTAAGCTGGCTTAAGGAAAAATATCAGTAATAGAGCTAGGATGGAGGGCGGATACATGCCACTGTGAGGGTGGCGTCCCAGGAGGGAAGTGTGGGAGGGAGTCTCTGAGTCAGGGAGTGTGCCGACTCCAGCCCCACGGTCCTGCCCTTGGAAATGGAAGCAGCAGGCTCAGGGGCCGAGGTGTCCATCAGCGATCCGGAGGCCTCAGATTTACTCCCAGCTCCCTGCCCCCCCCTCCCCCACGAGGCCCCGGGGGCAAAATCACAGCCAATTCTATCCAGATGAGAATGAAGGTTTTGACAGGCAAGGGGGGAGGTCTGAGACAGATGATGACAGAAAGTGCTGGCAGCAGGACAGGCCTGGGCTTGGCTCTGGCCCTACCCCACACCCACCCCACACACCCACCGCTCCCCCCCTGAGCCCCAGATTCTCGGTCTCTACATGGGGTTACAGTGAGACCAGCTCCCAGGGCTGTGTGAGCCTTGAAGTGCTTAATCCAGCACCGGGCACATAGAAGGCCCTTGACAAACTGAAGTTGCCATGATGATTATATTGTTATTCCCACTGCCACCATTATGATTATCATTAAACAGAGGTAATGACAACAGGTAGGGCTGCCCGGGACAGACCGGGACCGTGTTTACACGGTGAGAGGATGTTACAAGGTGGGGTGCGGGTGCTGGGGTGGAGAGAGACTGACTGAGAGGCATTGAGAAAGGCGGATGGAAACCGGCCCCTCCTAACTGGGTGATGAGTCCCAGTGATACAAGGCCAGGGACAAGTGGGAGGACCCCGGGCCCTGGGAGCAGAGAGGCGGCCCCGGGTGCTACTAAACCGGGGTGAGAGGGCAAGACGCCCAAACTCTGTGTCCTGAGCCCAGATGTGGGGGGTGGGGGGCCCTCACGCCGACCCCTCCTCCCTTGCAGCCCAGGCCTGGCGGAGACAGGGGTGGGTGGGGCGAGCAGCAGTCCAGGCCTCCCAGGAGGCTGTGAGCTCACACACGTGCCCCCAGTGGGCCAGGTAAACAGGATGGGTGCCTGGGTCAGCTGCTTCCTCCCACTCATTCCCTGGGGGTGGCTGGCCCGCCCAGCTCCCCTGCTCCGCACCCAGCTTTCTCAGCCAAGAGCAGCCCGAGTGCTGAGACGCCCTGGTGACCGCTCTGGGGCTGGCCACTTCCTTCCCCGGCACCCGGGGTCCCCACTGAGGGCAGTCTCACAGCTCCCAGGCCCTCTGCGGGCTGGAAGGCACGGGAGAAGGTGAGGCCAGTCACCTTTAGGTGACAGTATGGGCGGGAAGACAGATGGGAGAGACAAAGGCCACCAAAACCAAGGCAGCAAGGCCAAGAAAGGGCACCTGCCTCTCATCCTGGTGCCCCTGACCCGGGCTGGCTTCCACCTAGTGGGTCCCGCCCCACTGGGTTCCTACGCTGGCCTCCCTGGTTGGGTCCTGCCTGTGGTTCCTCTCTCCTAAGTCCCCTCCATCCCACCACCTCTAGGAGACACCAACCACCTGTCTCCTCGGATGCCCCCATCCCCACCCTGCGCCCCAAATTCCTAAGGTTGGGAAATCGGAACACTTTTGCACCTGCCTCATCCCATGTCTCCCTCCCTCCCTGATGCTTGGGCTCCCTCTCTGTTTCAACACAGATTCTCGGACTCACAATTACAGCTCATTACCCTATCGGTGGCTGGCCCTGAGTCACGAGGGAGGGACACAGGGCTGCCCAGCCCTGCCACCTTCTCCCAAGCTGCAGTATAAGGAGTAGAGGCAGGGAGGAGGACTCTGGGAAGGCAGGGGAGTCTGGGAAAGGAGAGAGAAGGCTGCACACCTAGAGGGAGGGAGAAGTCCGAAGGAAGAAGAGAACAGAGGAGGCCACGCAGCGGGGAGGAGGAGACAGGGCAGAGAGAAATAAACTCGGGTGGGCAGAAGGCAGGAGGGAGAGAAGGAGCGAGGCGGAGATGAGGTTGCAGGGCTCCCTGGCCTGCCTCCTGCTGGCCCTGTGCCTGGGCGGCGGCGGGGCCGGCCCGTTGCCGAAAGAAGGGGAGGGTGCGGGAGCAGGTGTCGAGGAGGCCGTGGGACACGGGATGGGAGACGCCATTGGAAAGGGGGTGGGAGATGCCATCAGCCAAGGAGTCGAAGAGGCTGCTGGCAAAGGGGCCGGAGGGACCGCCGACTCTGCAAGCAGGGGGGCCACGAGCCGTGGCGTGGAGGAGGCAGCCCGCGTCCTTGGGAACCCTGGGGGTGAGGCAGGCAGGCAGGCTGAGAACATCATTCGCCGCGGAGGAGATGCGGTTCACAGCTCCTGGCAGGGCGTGCCTGGCGGCAACGGTGCTTGGGTGAGTAGCGGGAAGCTGGGTGTGGAAATGGGAGGCCGTGGGCCCCCGGGTTGAGAGTCTTGGAGTGGGTTGGAAGGGTGACCCACGGGAAGGAAGGTCTCTTACTTGTGGCTGTCTGCGGTGGTTTCCCTCCACGTGATGCGGCCTTCCTCTGCCGCCTTGGGGTCTCCGTCCCCCTGCCTCGGCCTTCGTCCCGCCCTCCCCTGTCACCAGGCGGATGGTCACGCACACTAAGTGTGGGCACGTTGCTCTTGCAGGGAACCAATGGCCAACCTCCATCTGGAGGCCATGGCATCTTTGGCTCCCAGGGTGGCTTTGGAGGCCACAGCCAGGGCAACCCTGGAGGCCCGGGGACTCCTTGGGGCCAGGGATACCCCGGAGGTTCAGATGGCAGCTTCGGAACCCACTCTCAGGGAGGCGCCTGGGGCCAAGGAGCCAATGGAGGATCTTTGAACTTGGGGCCCAACGCTCAGGTACGGTAACCACCCCAGCCCTGATGCGCGCCACCTCCCGCCCTTCGAGCCCAGGGTCCCCACGCCTCCCTCATCTGTCGGTCAGTCCCCATCAGTCCCCCGCTCAGCCTGCCCCTCTCCGCAGGGGACCGTGGTCCAGCCCGGGTACGGCTCAGTGAGAGGCAGCAGCAACTCACACACAGAGGTGAGGGGACGGGTGTGGGCAAAGCAGAGGGTGTTCGGGTGTGTGAGACAGAAAGGAGGCGAATTGAAGAGGAAAGAAAGAAGGATTGGGGCGGGGTGGGGGGAGCTGACTGAGGGACAAGGCAGCTTGGACAGGGAAGAGATGGGCCGGGCCAGGTGACCAGGAGGAGGAGAGGGGAGTGGGACGGGGCGTGGGGGAGAAACACGTGGGGAAAGGGGCCAAGCCACAGGAAGCGGGAGAGCCCGGCCTCGAGGGCAGGGGCTCTGACTGAGGTCTGGAAACTCTCCCCTGCAGTGCACCAACCCCCCGCCGTCCGGCTCAGGAGGAAGCTCTGGCAACTCCGGGGTAAGGGGACAGGCGACTGGGTGGCTGGGGGCATTTTGCACAGCGGACGATGGAGTCTCTGCTCCCCTGAGACCATGCAGGGAATGTGCCCGAGCAAGAGGGGGAGGGCGAGGGGGAGGGGAGCAAATGATCCTGATGTTCTCGGCTCTGGTTCTCACTCTGGTCTCTTCCTGTCCCTCAGGGAAGCGGTGGCAGCAGCGGTGGCAGCGGCGGTGGCAGCAGCGGTGGCAGCAGCGGTGGCAGCGGCGGTGGCAGCGGTGGTGGCAGCGGCGGTGGCAACGGTGGCAGCAGCGGTGGCAACGGTGGCAGCAATTATGGGCCCAGCTGGGTGAGTCCTGCTCCCCCTTGAAGGCGGAGGTGCAGCCCGGACCCCGGCGGTCCCTGCGGAGGAGACAGCCTCCAAGGTCTTCCCGAACGCTTGCATCGCTGTGGCCCCGTCCTGGGCCCCTCGGCCCCTGCACCCCACCTTCCCGGCCCCAGCAGGCGGGGTTCCTTACACACACCCCCTAGGTCCCCACAAGGGGTGCCCTGCCTGCTGCCAGCTCACGGGGCTCCCGTGTCTTCCGCTCCACGCGGGTGGGGTGCCCTCCCTCCCGTCTCACCCACTGCTGTGCCAGTGTCCACTGGGCAGATCTGACAAGAGACGGGGGTGGCAGACGGAAGGAGAGGGGTGGACACGGGAAAACAGGACACCTGCTTGGGAAGCTCCCCGGGGAACAGGGGCAAGCCTGTCGCACACGTGGAGAGAGGACATTTATGGAGCTGTGGCGTAGATGACACTGATACATACGGGACACGTGGGGCCCCTACAAAAGGGGTGAGGGGCCAAGAGGGGACCGCGGGCTCAGCGTGGGCTCTCCCACGGAGGGGTCTGCCGTGGGGAGCACCATCGGCTTCCTTAGATATCTGGGAAAGGTGTCAGGCCACAAGAGGGAGGTGACTAGGACGAGCCAGGCCACGTAAACTGCTGTAATTTACTGCTCCTTGTACTACCTGCTTCCCCATCTAGGACCGTCCCTTAGAAAATTCTAGGAATTTTGATCAAAGCAGCTACTCAGGCTCCCAGGTAATTACGGATCTAGGGGTCCCTTCCCCTTTCCAGGTTCCAGGAGAGGGGGGTGAGGAGGAGAGTCAGGAGGACAGTCAGGAGCCCCTGGGTGCCAGGGTCAAGGCTCTTCACTTCTGGCCTGTGGGGTGGGGGAGGGAAGAGGAGACAAGAGCTCGGAATCCCCAAACTGGCCCACATTTCCAAATACACCTGGCCACACGGACCTTTGTGCCCCGAATAACTTCCCTCGGTGACTGGCTAGCTAAGGACAGGAAGAGATGGAGGTTGGGGACAGGGGAGTAAAGAGAATCCTAACACCCTGGAAACGATCTGGTTCTGGCTGAGGGCCTCGGAGACCCTGCATGGACTCTTGCTTTCCCTCGTAGGGACACAGTTCTGGCTCTTCCTCGGGTAGCAGTGGCGGCGGAAGCGGTGGTGGAAATAAACCCGAGGTGAGTGTCCGCTGCGCGCACACCTGCACAGATCTCCCTCCTTTCCCCGGATGGGAGGGAAAACGGGGGGTGCCGAGGCCCCTCGCATGACGGGAGAGTTGGGAGAGCGACGGCCAGAGCTGAGAGGGGGTGCGCTGCTGGGGGCGGGTGTGGGCTAGCCTTGGCGGTAACATGCTGCAGTTTGGGGGCTGGGGTTGGTTTGCAGGTGGCAAGAGAGAGAAAGCCTTCTCTCTCTCTCTCTCTCTCTCTCTCTCTCAGTGTGACAACCCAGGGAATGAAGTCCGCGTGTCTGGAGGATCTGGGGGTCAGGTAAGAGCCAAACTTGGGACTGTGCCCACCCCTGCTCAGCCCCAACTCCGTCTGTGGGGAAGAAACCGAATCTCCAAAATAATAATGAATGGCAAATCCCCACGTGGTGTGCCTCACTTCATACCATGGATGGGGCGGTGAAAAATCACATAGAAACCAGTCCTTTTAGAAACGTCATCATTTCAAATGACCTACACCCACCTGGCCAACAAAGAGTCCCGTGACCTCTTTGACAGCGTTGGAAACCGTGTGTCGAAAGCGTGCGCTTCCCTCCTGGTTATTCTGGAAATCTGGGCTTTCTGTCAGCACCTGCAGCACTGACAAGACGAAGTGTGACGCTAAGGTCCCCACCAATCACCTACGGTTCTTGTGAAAATGCAGGTTCTGAGTCAGCAGGCCTGGGGTGGGGCTGAGATTCTGGTTTCTATCAGGTTCTGGGCAAAGCAGATGGGGCTCGACCGTGGCTGGTGCGAGCGCGGCCGACCATCGGGGAGAAGGCTCCCTGAATAACAGGCTCTTCGGATATTAGAGATACTAACCTCGATGGGTAGACAGGGGTCAGAAAAGCTCCCAGCCTGTACTTCTGTCTCTAGTTTTTTATGTAGCAAAGTCTTAAATATGTAGTCAAACATATCAGTCTTTTCTTCTATGGTTTCTGCTCTTGAGAACACAAAGGCTTTTCTTTTCTTCTAGAACTACTTCTATAATTTCATTGTTTCTATTTAACTCTTTAATCCATCTGGACTTGACTTTGCTGTATACAATCTAGTCCAGTTCCTCAGATCAGCTGGACTTAACCCACACTTTGGATCAGAGCGGTGTGCTCTCTTATGAGGGGAAAATCAGATAAAAACAGAAGGGAGGGAACCAGTGAGGTGTAACTGTCCCCCTTACGCCCCCCGAATACTGAACTGGTGTTCCCAGCTGTGTGCACTGAATTATTTCTACCACCGATGTAAAAATGCTGCTTGTAAATACCTTCATATTTTGGGAGAGCTTCTGCAGGGGTTGTACTTTTTTTTTTTTTTAAGTCGATTTATTTATTTTGAGGGAGAAAGTGTGAGTGGGGGAGGGGAGAGAGACGCAGAGCATAGGTGGGGGAAGGGCAGAGAGAGAGGGAGACACAGAATCTGAAGCGGGCTCCGGGCTCTGAGCTGTCAGCACAGGGCCCGATGAGGGGCTCGAACCCGTGAACCATGAGATCATGGCCTGAACTGAAGTCAGATGCTTAACCGACTGAGCCACCCAGGCGCCTAGGGAGCTCTACTTGGTTAAACGGGCTCATCTGTGCTGGGCACTGCTTTCTTTATGGCACATGACTATCTACCAGTACAGGTCCTCCCTTGCTGCCTGTCTTTTCCAGTGTTTTCTCACCTATTCTTAGACACTTACTCTCCCAGATGAATTCCAAGAATATTTTGACATGTTCCAAAAGAGAATCCCATGAGCGTTTATAGAAGAATTGTATTAAATCGGCACCAACATTTGCAGGGATGGACCCAAGATCTAAAACAATGACCTGTGTTTCGTGTCTCATCCTTCAGGGCTTCCAAGGAGGACAGGGAGGGCCCGGCAGCTCTGGTGACATCAGGGTAAGGAGACGACAGGCCTTGAGAGTAGAGACTGGTGGCAGGAGGACGGCATGGTGATCACCTCTGCAGTAGTGATACCAACAGGGCAGATAGTCTCACGTCGCAGCCCAGTCTTGGCCTTGGCCCTGGGAATTCATCTTAGTCCCGAGGAGTGGGGGTCTGGAGGCACCTACCTCTCAGGAGGAGACAAGCCAGGCTACTTCCGGGCCTCCTCGGCTAGTGTCACCCTTCTGACCAAAGCAAAACATCAGCCCAGACTGGGCCCTGCAGTTTGAATCACTTTAGTCCAATGGTCTGGCTGGCTTCCACCTCAAAACCAGAGGATAACTCAGATACTTTGATGGCAAGGACCCTTCCTGGTGGATTTTGGGCAGTTTGCAGACATGAACAGAAAGAGGTGGTTATGTCACCTGTAAGTATTGTAAGTGTGCAATAGCCCGGTCGACAAGAAGTTGAGGCAAGATTTTCCAGGGAAGACGGAGCCGCCCGGGGAGAAGAGCCTCTCTGGGGGTCCCGGGAAATCTCCAGTCCCCTGATTCAGGAGACCCTTGCCCACATTCTGCTCTCCTGCCCTCTCGTCCCGCATCTTCCCTGCTTCCCCACCGACTCTTCTCCATTTTCTGTCTCCCCAGGAAATAAGCAAAGAAGGCAGTCACCTCGTTGGGGGCTCCCAAGGCAATTATCAGGTGAGCAGGGACAGCTTTCCGAGAAGGGATGGTGGGGGGTGGGGACAGAGTGCTAAGGGACCGGGAAAAGAAATAGAAGCATCAGTGTCTTCTCGCTGCTACTCTGAGTCTGTGGCGGGTAACTGTCAGGAGACCAGATGGGGGTCTGGGATCCCTGTCTCCTCCATTCATTCATTCTCTCCTTCCTTTGAATGGCCGTCAGAGCCACGTTATCACTGTGAAGGGAAGGATAGCCGGAAGTAACAGAGGGGTCAAGGGGCTGTATTTGGGAACCATACTTAAGAAGGCAGTGTTGACAAGTGGAAAGGCAGTGAATTTTGAGGTAGTGGTTGGGGGTTCAAATGACAGCTGTATCACCTGTCATCTGTGCATCTTCAGACCGGTCAGTTGACCTCTCTGAGCCTGGGACTCCTTTTGGGTCAAATGGGGCCAGCAAAGCGAGCAAACTTGCTATCCCCCCCCCCCCCCCACACTGCCTGAGTTACTGCAGAACTTTGTGTGACCACTAAGGTGGTTCAGAATCTGGACCCTGGAGGCCAACAAGGAGACAGATCCTGAGGCAAGCTGCTGACGGCTCTGACTTTAGTTTCCTTATCTGTACGGTGGAGACATCTCCACGCAGGAACGCGGCAGGTTAAGGCACCGTGCTAGGCGCCTGGTGGATCACACGTCACATACCAGCAGTGTTTTGGGGGCAGGCTATGTGGGGGTGGAGGTGGGGGTGGCGGGCAGAGTCCGAGTATGAATATGATTCAAGGGACTGGGCAGGGTTATTCTAGGAAGTGGCAAATAGTCCAGGAAGGGGGGCTTCCTAGCTGCTGTGTGAAAAAGAAGAGAAGGTGGCTTTACAGAGAGTACACAGAGCTTGAGCCAAGGCAGAGGTGGTGAGCCAGGAGCAGGTGGCCAGGTGGCACGCGTGACCGGAGGCACAGGCTTTGAAAATCAGTCCCCCTTCCTACCCAGTGGCAAGGGTCCGGTGGTGAAGCTGTCAGTGGGATCAATACCTTGGTGAGTGGAGGCATCACCCCACCTTGGGTCCGGACCGTGGTGTCAGGCGACCCACGGGTCCCCTCCCGAGCCCCAGAGCGCCTGCCCCCTGCCTCTGGCTCACAAGCCGGCTTCCCACTCTCATCCCATTTCTCCCCGATGCCTTAGAACTCTCAGACATCTCCTGGGCTCTTCAACTTCGACACTTTCTGGAAGGTGAGTTCGGCCAGGTGGCTCTGCTCACTCTGTTGGCAAGGCAAACCCCTGTCCCTCTGCCCCGCAGGCTGAGGTCCTCTTCCCATAACCAACCGCCGTCAGTGGTGGACCTTGACCTCTCCTGCCCGGAGGCCCTGAGCCGATTGCACTATGACCCAATTTGCCATTTTCCTTTTTTTTTTTTTTTTCTTTTCCTCTGCAGAATTTTAAATCCAAGCTGGGTTTCATTAACTGGGATGCCATAAACAAGGTAAGGGCTGGAAGGCTATGCCATTCCGATCCCCAGGGGAGAGGGGACTGGAGAAGAGGTGTGGGGACCTGGGGAGATGACGGTGGCCACTAAGAGGGCGTTTTGTCCAGTGCTTAAAAAGAGGGACAGGAATGACGAGGAAGGACAGAGGGGTGGGCTGGGAGTCGGGGATGAGGGAGTGCCTCTTTCGGGTCTCAAGCAGAGGGAAGCTTGAGCTTCTCTGAAGCTCAGTTTCCCCTTCGAGACCTGGAAGGTTAAGGGGAGCGCGAAGAGGACTAGTCCTCGGGAAACCGGAGAGGCCGCAGAGGCCGGGTAGGCGGCGGACTGCACCTTAGTCGGGAGGACAGGGAGGGAGGACCGCCGGCTGAGAGAGGAGGGAGTGTGTACCAGGTGCCTGCTAGGGGCCAGGCGTGCTGGGCTCCGGGCCCGCGTGATCTTAGGAGGCGCTTGGGGCCCTGAACCCCCTTCTGCTTCCTCCCTGCCCACGCCTTCCACGTTCAGGGGACCCCCTGGCAGGTTGATTTGACACCCGAATAGCAGAGGCAGATAAACAACCCACACAAATACCAAAGGCAGAATTTGCAAATGACGGTCGAGCCGGTGTGCTTTGTTTGATCCACTTTTTTTTTTTTTTAAATTAAATGTTTATTTCGAGAGAGAGAGTGCTCGCGTGCGCGCGCGTGAGAGCGTGAGCGGGGCAAGAGCAGAGAGAGAGGGAGAGGGAGAATCCCAAGCAGGCTCCACACTCAGCATGGAGCCCAATGTGGGGCTGGATCTCACCAACCATGAGATCATGACCTGAGCCAAAATCAAGAGTCGGACGCTTAGCCGACTGAGCCACCCAGGTGCCCGGTGATCTGTTCTTTTTTTTTTTTTTTTAATTTTTTTTTTCAACATTTATTTATTTTTGGGACAGAGTTTTTTTTTTTTTAAAGCATTATGAACTAGTTGCCAAAGTTTAAAAACTGAGAGATTTTACAAAATGACTTGGAATTCCGGCTTCTCTTGAAAAATGTGGCAACGCGGGGCCCCTCTTTCCTCGAGCTCCCAGAGACAAGAGCTGAGTGGCCACTGCTTGTATGGGGGGGGGTGAGTAGGAGGGGCTTGTTCTTCAGGAGCCACAGGCCCTCTGCCTGTCACAGTCTCCGAGTTCCTGACCTGTAACACAACAGAAACAAGGCGAGGGCCCCTAACCTCTAAAACTGGCAGGGGAACCGAGGTGGCGGTGGCGGTAGGCAGGGAGGTGAGGACAGAGCCCCGCCCTCAGCAAGTCCAAGTCTGCCCCCTGGGGAATAAGGTGGGACAGTGAAAGACACAGGAGGCAGAAGGTCCCAGCGGCAGCGCGGTTCCGGTTTGGATGAACCGCAGGAGCAAATGGACTGTTTCTGTTTTATAGAGAAACAGCCCCCCCCCCCCACCAACCCCCAACCCCTCTCACAGGGAACTTAGGCCCAGAGGCACATGCTCATACTTCCCCGGGGCCTGGAAGGCAGTCGACATTCTTGCACATCTAGGGGGCCGGTAAAAGGAGAGCGCTCACAGTTAGGCAGGATCCATCTGGGGCGGCTTCCCCAGGAGCAGGTCTAGGAAGAAGGGCAGGACAGAGATGGGCAGAGAAGAGAACAGAGAGCCCATCTCCTTCACAAGGAGGGCCAGACTGACCAGTGACCAGGAGAATACACGTAACAGTTCTTGGCACGTAGGAGGTTTTCAAGCCCAACGGGAATATCCAGATTTGACTGGATGACAGCCGTGGGCAAAAAGATCCCTGCGGGTTTCAGCAGCGGAGGCCCGATCCACCCCTGACTTGGCCCACTACGGCCTGATTCCTATTCCTTTGAGCTCCCTCTTAGAACTTATTTCTCTGCCCAGGACCAGAGGAGCTTTCGCACCCCGTGACCTCCAGACAAGGAGCTACCAGATGGATGGGAGCCCCCCTCCCATCCCTTCTTAAAACATCGCTATCCCACCGTTAATCTCAACCCTTACCCTCGAAATAAACCTTAGCTGCCCCACATTCCTGGTCTCTGCTCCTTTCTTACGTCTCCACTGTTGTCCCCCAGGGTGCGGGAGGGGGGGTGTCTGGAAGGATCAGAGTGCAGCTCTCAGCTTTGGGAAATGGGCTGGAGGCGGAAGGGAAGGTAAAAAGGCGGGAAGTTCTGGGGACAGACAGGTCCTGGTCCTGAGGTCCTGAGTTCTGGCAGAGGCTGGGGGAACAGGGATAGTCAAGAGCACGCGGTTTGCGCCTGGGGAGGGGAGCTGGTTAGTGGCGCCCGAGAGCTAGCCTTTCTCTCCCTCTGCTTCCGAAAGCCATTTTCTGGTGTCCCTGAAGACACCCGGCTTCCCTCAAACCTTAGTCACGATGAAATTCTGAAGACCGAGCAGCGGTGGCAGCGGGAACAGGGGCCTAGGTGAGCAGGGGGCCGGGCTCCGTGCTAACCTGCACCCGCCTTTCCTCTACAGGGCCAAGTCCCGTCCCCCAGCACGCGGGCCCTCCTCTACTTCAGCCGGCTCTGGGAGGTAGGAGACCTCTCACTTTTCAAAGAACTGGGGATCCTGGTCATCTGTCCCTGTTGCCACCTCCCTCCAGCTCCAGCCCTCTGTCACAAAATTCACCCTCTTTTCACTTTTGAGATAGTAATCTCACCCAAATCCCAGAAGCGCCACCACCCTCAAACTCCCCTGTGCTTATTTTCATCTAACCCCCGAACCACACCCAGGCTCCAAAACCCATTCCTGCACATCACCCCCCAACTTCCCACCGAGCTGCAGCACCCCCGGCTGAGGCCCACTCACCTCTTCTCCTCCCCCCAGGATTTCAAACACAACACCCCTTTCCTGAACTGGAAAGCAATTATCGAGGTAAGGGTGGCAGAACCTTTGGGGTCGGGTGCTCAGCTCTGGGGACGCGGGATCTAGGCCCCGGGCAGCGACGTGTAGACTCGGTCCCTGTTGTTCACCCTCCCCGCTGACGGAGGGTGCCTCCCTCCCTTCCCACTCTCCTCCCTTTCTGCAACGCTGAGTGGGGGTGGGTTGGGAGGGAGAAGCTGTGAGTCACTGGAGAAGGAGTAGGGTGGGCGGTCCTCGCGCCGATAAAAGCTGAGGCCCAGGGCTGGGGCCTCCACAGGCCCAGGAACATGAAGCCAGCCACTGTCTCTGCTCTGCTGCTTTTCCTGCTGGGTGTGGCCTGGCTCAGGGGGAGCCACAGCTGGGTGGGTACTGCAGGGTGAGCAGGTGGCGGGGACACGAGGTGGGGAAGAGGCAAGGGCCTGGAGCTGGGGTCAACTCTCTTCACTGGAAAGGGGGCTTTAGGGAGGAAAGCTGAAAGAAAACAGGGGGCACAGGGGGAGAAGGTCAGGTCATGGTCAAGTGCAAGCAGGTGCAGTGGGTCTGAATATCTGGGTTCTGGGAAGGATGGGCAGGACCTCTGGGTCCTGCAGGAGGCCATACCTTGATTCTGTATGGCCGAGAGCCTTTGGGCACTGAGGCAAAGGTGCACTCACTCATGCACGTGGGCCAGGCAAGTGAGGCTGGGCAGACAGGGCCATGCGAGGGGGGAGGTCAAAGCCCTTCTGCTGTGTACAGCCATGCGCTCAGGGATGGCCAGTGTGCCATGCCATTGGATGGAAATCTGAATTTTATTTTAATTTATTTGTATTTTTTTTTTTTATTTTAGAGAGAGAGAGTGAGAGCAGGGCAGAGGGGCAGAGAGAGAGAGAGAGAGAGAGAGAGATCCTTAGGCCCCAGGCTCAACACAGAGCCCAACGAAGGGCTCAATTCCACGACCCTGGGATCATGACCTGAGCCACAATCAGGGGTCTGACACTCAACTGACTGAGCCACCCAGGCGTCCCGGAAATCTGATTGCTAGTCGTTCACAATTAATTTAATTTAAAAATGCAGACCAAGCAAAAACTTTCTTCAGGCCTATGGTCAAGCAGTTTGTGACCTCAATGTTGGGGCTAAGAGTGGGGCGAAAAATCAACGGGAGTCAGGTGAGAGGAGGAACATCCTAACCCTGTGTGGGGGCAGGTGAGAGTGGGGGCTCCAGGTGGAGAAGGGATGGTCGCAGAAACCGATCTCCTCTCCTCCTGCTGAGAATTCTCCTCTCGCCTTGACTGTGGAGGGGAGACGGCCGCGCACCTGTGTCTCACCTGGCTTCACGGGCTTCCTTGTGTTTCTCCCCTTTCTCTCTGGCCCAGAGCTAATCTAATCACCCCGCTTTGCCTCCATGTGCTGAGGGTAAGAGCCCGTCCTTCCAGGAGCCCTGTGGGAACAGCGTTTGTGAACAGGGATTGCGGGGCCCAAGGAAGGAGCAGGGCTTGGTGTTGGCAGAACGTGGGCTGGGCTGAGGTGCGCGCCTGCCCCAAGGAAGCCTGTGGGGGCACCGCTCGTTTGCCATCAGCCCTGCTCAGTCCCGGGCCAGTCTGCCTCAGCCCCAGCTGCACGGTGGGGGTGGTGCTGCCTCGCTCCCCCACACTCAGTGTGGAAACCTGTCCTGTATCTATTGGGGCCATCAGTTTCCTCCGGGCTCCCTGCCTTCTCTGTAGGTAGCGCTGATCACGGACCACGGACAGGGGTGCGGTGGGGTGGGCGGGGGCGGGTGCTTCGGCACGAGGGCCGAGCCTGGGCAGCAGGCTCGACTTTGGCAGGGCCGGAAGGACCGTGGACGAGGACACCCTAACTGTGGCTCCCTCTCCCTTCCAGGGCGCCGATGCGTCATCGCTCCAGAAGAGGTCGGGCGGCGCCGGTCAGGTGAGTCCGCCCTTTTACCTGCCTTCGACGGCCCTTGGTCCCTCTCGGTCTTGTTCTCAGCGCTGGCCAATCTGAAACCCTCTCTCCTTCACACCCCCATTCTGTCGTTTTCTCAGTCTGGCACGGGATGGCAAGAGGTGGCGGCCGTAACTTCTAAGGTAAGACATCCGTCACTGGACCGCTGGGTTCAGGCCTCACTTATTTCCTTGGTGTCCTGCCCTCATCTCCTAAGCGACACTTGAGGAGCTGGGAGAGGTACTGGGAAGGAGGAGGCAGGGCCATTCGGGAGACGACCGCAAAGTGAGGTGAGGCTGCGGGCTCTGGCTGGCCCCGAGGAGATTCTATAGAAAAGAACGCATGACACAAGGAGGCAGGGGCTCGGGGACAGCTCTGGCCCAGGCAGGGAGGTGGGGTGTTTATTCCACAGCAAAATGCCCTCCCCCCTCTCTCGCCCCCCGCCCCCGCCCTCCTCCCCACTCTCTGGTTTTCTTTCCACAGCACAACTATAACCAGCAGGCACACCCTACTCCTTCTGGTGGGCAGTACTCAGCCAAGATCCCCTCTAAGGTAAGGCTCCCAAGTGCCCCGTTTCCTCACTGGGGTGGCTGCCAGGTTTAGCTGAGGCCGAATCCTGTTTGTTTTGAAAGTCTTGTCTGCGAGGAGACTCGGGCTCCCTGAGAGCACTTTGGAAGCCACGGGTGCGAAGAACACGGAATCTTCCACGGAACATTCGGTGTTCTTCACACGCACCCCCTCGGAAAAGGTTACAAGGTGGCAGTGGCTGCATTGCAGGCGGAGGAGAAAACTGGGAATGAATATCCTCTCAAAGAGGGATATAAAAGTCACATGACACACAGGAAAAGGAGCAGCCTTTGCTTTTTTGTTTTTAACGTTTATTTATTTTTGAGAGAGATAGAGTGTGAGCAGGGGAGGGGCAGAGAGGGAGGGAGACACAGAGTCCGAAGCAGGCTCCGGGCTCCGAGCTGTCAGCACAGAGCCCGACGCGGGGCTCGAACCCACAGACCGTGAGATCGTGACCTGAGCCGAAGTCGGACGCTTAATTGACTGAGCCTCCCAGGAGCCCCAGCAGCCTTTGCTTTTAGTGTCTGTTTCCTCCACCTCTTTAACTGCTGATTTCGTGGAGGGTGGGGGGAGAGGAAGGCACACCAGCACTTGGGCGGGTTGGGGGCGGGGGGCTTGCCCAGAAACCTTTGGCTGGTGGGAAAATTAATGCTTCATTCCACAAAACAAGTAATAGGAAACAAACCCTGAGAAGGGGCCCCTGGATGGCTCAGTCTGTTAAGCGTCTGACTTGGTTTCAGCTCAGGTCATGATCTCAGTTTGTGAGTTCGAGCCCCACCTCGGGCTCTGTGCTGACAGTGTGGAGCCTACTTGGGATTCTCTCACGCACTCTCTCTCTCTCTCAAAATAGATAAATAAACTTAAAAAATTAACAAAAAAACAACCCTGAGAATTTTGTTTCATTCAGTTACAAGGAAAGCCATCTTACAGACTCAGTAAAGGAATGTGCTAAGTACTAATTAGGCTGGTGAAAAAAAAACAGGCCCTATTCCCCTCCATCTCTCAGAATGAGGAAGCCCCTGCCCTCAGGGCCGGGACTTCTACTGAGAGATCAGAAGTCACCTACTGACTGGAAGCAGGTGACAGAGCAGCCATCGCTGCCCATGGGTGCCCACTCGCCAATTTCTACCCGCCCAGCGGCAGGGGGCACCCACCTTTCAGTCTGCCTGGCCGGCGTGTGCTCATCTTGGGTCAGATGTGCGCAAGCTGATGAGTCTGCTTTGAAAAAAAAGTCCGTGGGCTGAACGTCCACAGTCAGACCCAAGGACCTTTGCCAAGATCTTGGTCTGAGCCCTCCCCTGCCCTGGGGTCCCTCCTGAGCCCTGAGGACGAGGCCGAGGACACGGAGGGCCCTGTGGTGCCCCCATCATCTCCTCTGATCTTCTCTTTACAGGGGGTAGCCACGCCTTCTTCTTCGGTGAGTACCAAGGCGGGGAAAACGTGGCTCTTGAGACAAAGGGTCTGAGGCCAGAGGGTGTGCAGGAGACAGGGTGACGTCCACTCAGACGTTCTCCTTGTCCCGCAGGCTTCCCGGGTGCAGCCTGGCCTGCTGCGGTGGGTGAAGTTCTGGTAGGTGAGTATCCGAGCAAGCCGCACAAGCCACGGTCACCCCGGGGGTGCACTGAGGTCCCGGCATCTGCTTTGTTTTGCGTGGAAGCTCCACGGGCACTGAGGAGGAGCCCCTCGCGTGGCCTGTGGAGGAAGACTCATAAGGAAACGACAGAGGACACTCGGGAGCACCCTCTGAGTGCCGAGTGCGGGCCTGACAGGAGGAGAGGTTGAGGAAGGGTCTGGGGTGACAGGTGCGGAGGAAGTGAGTCGCCAGGGCGGAGGTGGTACGAGATGACCTGGGCAGAACCACAAAATCTGTTTCAGGGAGGAGCAAGAGCGAGGGGACCCGCAGGCGAGACAGGTGGGACGCCGCGAGATTTCGGGAGCACCGAGACTGGATGAAGGGACACCTGGTTTCAGCAGATTCCGGAGTAGCCACGGGCTACCGTTCGCTCTTTTCTTTTTTAGAAGATTATTTCCAGTCATGACCGAGGCCCCGAAAAACGTCAGTCTTCGAGGAGCCCGACCGGGCCGCGTCCCTAGCTCTCCCCTCCCTGTGTCAGGCTTGGTCTAGGTGCTGACACCTGTTTTTTCCAGGTTGGGGACCAAGTCTGTCTGTCCCTTGTATCTTGCAACCGCACTGTGGGGTCTCCGTGACCAGCAACTTCATCAGATAAACCCGCCACTTTTCTTCACCTACTCCGTTTTGTGACCTGAAGTCAGTGTGACAGTTCTTCAGAAGAAGCTTCTTCTCCTCCTGAGTTTCTTTATGGAAATAAAACCCGAATCTTGTTTCCCTAAGATTTCTCACACTGTATTCTTTAATGTTGTGCTGGTGGCCGGGACCAGGGAGGATGGAAGTGATTTAGGGGTAGATAACGTGGCTTCCCGCCGACAGTGGCATACCAAATGGGGGGGTGGGGTGGGGCTACTGACAAGCAGTAGCTAGCTGATACCACCGTGCCTCAGTTTCTCCATCTGAAAAAAATCATCTTTGCCCAGTCTGCGTCCGAATGCTGTGCCCCTGAAGGTGAGGAACTCACAGGTGTTTTGCTAGCCTGAAAAGGCAACACAGAAGCGATTCACATCAGGAGGTGGGGGTAAAGAGCTTTTCAAGAGAGGAGGCCAGTCCCAGAGGGTCAGGAAGGGGGCAAGAATAGGGGCCAGGGGCCTAGCAGAGCATATGCCTCATAAACACAAGGCCTTGTCTGCCTTGTAAGCACACTGAGGTATGGATGAGGTCGTGTGCTTAGGAAGTTGTGGGCAGGAGGCTCATACCCAGTGCTTTAGCTCTGTGTCTCTGGGAGGCAGAGGGGGTGGTGGAAACTTCCACTGCATTAACGTACCAAGGAAACAGGCAGAGGTCCTTGGTGCAGGTGGAGGCCAGGCTTATCACAAGCCTAAGAGCTCTGCAGACACGGCCGGAGAGTCTGTACGCAGAGTCTCTGAGCCAAAGTCTCATCCAGGCTGTAGAATGTGCCCCAATTAGGGAGTCCCCACCAATCATCTCCCACATTCCTGCAGGGACCCAGGAAGTAAAAGAAGGACAGGAAGCTCCCTGCCAGCCTCGGTGACACCCCCCTCCCCCACGCACCGCCACCTCCAAGATCCCAAGTTCCCTGAGTGCATGGTCCGACTGCCTCGGTTATTGTTTCGCCCCCGCACTGACCACAGGGCCTGGCACAGGCGAGGCCTCAAATAGTTGATGAATAAATAAAAGAAACCTGGCCCAAAATGGACCTGGGGAACCTGTCTTGATCAAAGCCATCTGGCTGGGAGAAAGACGAGGACTATTCCTATTTTCACGTTTGTCCTGATTTGGGGGCTACTGCTTTATACAGACATACCTCATCTGATCGCGCTTGGTGGCTATTACATTTTTTACAACTTGAAGGTTCGCGGCAACCCCACCTCAAGCGAGTCTATTGGCGCCACTTTTTCCGATAGCATTTGCTCACACTGTGTCTCTGCATTACATTTTGGTAATGCTCGAAATATTTCAAACTTCTTCATTATTCTTATTATATTTGTTTCGGCGGTCTGTGATCGCTATGTTTGACGTTACTGCTGTAATATTGTGGGGCAGGTACCATTGGCGTCACCCCTATAAGACGGCAAACTTAAGCCGTAAATGTCGTGCGTGTACCCCACTGACGGCCGTTCCCCTGTCTCTCTCCCCTCCTTGGGCCTCTCTCTTCCCTGAGACACAACAATATTGAAATTAGGCCAATTAATAACCCCACACGGGCCCCTGAGTGTCCTAGTGAAAGGAAGAGTCACGCGTCTCTCACTTGAAATCGAAAGCTGGAAATGATTCAGCCTAGCGAGGAAGGTAAAAGCCAAGACAGGCTCTTACGCCAGTTGGCCATTTGTGAACGCGAAACAAACGTTCTTGAAGGAAACGAAAAGTGCTACTTTAGTGAGGATGTGAACAAGAAAGCAGACAGCCTTGTTGCTGATGTGGAGAAAGCTGGAGTGGTCTGGACAGATGATCAAACCAGCCACGGCCTTCCCTTAAGCCAAAGCCTCATTCAGAGCATTCTCTTCAATTCTGTGAAGGCTGAGAGAGGTGGGGAAGATGCGGAATAGTTTGAAGCTGGCAGGGGTTGGCGCATGAACTTTAAGGAAAGAAACCTTGACACACAAGTGCAAGGTGAAGCAGCACGTGCTGATGTAGAAGCTGCAGCACATTCTCCAGAAGGTCTAGCTAAGATCATTCATGAACGTGGGTACACTTAACACATTTTCAGTGTAGGTGAAACAGCCTTCTCTTGGAAGGAGATGCCATCTAGGGCTTCCTGGGCTGGAGAGAGGTCAATGCCTGGCTTGAAAGCTTCAAAGGACAGGCTGACTCTCTTACTGGGGGCGAACGCAGCTGGCGACTTTATGTCGAAGCCACTGCTCATTGACCATTCTGAAAATCCTGGGGCCCGTGAGAATTCTCCTCCATCTACTCTGCCTGTGCTCCGTAGAGGGAACAAGGCAGGATGGCAGCATGTCTGTTTACGACATGGTTTACTGAATACTTTAGGCCCAGTGCTGAGACCTACCGCTCAGAAAAAAAAAAGATTCCTTTCAAAGTATTACTGCTCACTGACAATTCACCTGATCACCCAGGAGCTCTGATGGGATGTGTAATGAGATTCATGAGGTTTTCATGTCTGCCAACACAATATCCCTTCTGCAGCCCATGGATCAAGGAGTAATTCTGACTTTCGAGTAATATTATTTAAGAAATACATTTTGTAAGACTATAGTTGCCATAGATCATGGATCCTCTGATGGATCTGGGAAAAATACATTGAGAACCTTTTGGAAGAGATTCATCATTCCAGATGCCATTAAGACCATTCGTGATTTGGGGTGCCTGGGTGGCTCAGTCGGTTAAGTGTCCGACTTCAACTCAGGTCATGATCTCACAGTCTGTGGGTTTGAGCCCCGTGTCGGGCTCTGTGCTGACAGCTCGGAACCTGGAGCCTGCTTCTGATTCTGTGTCTCCCTCCCTCTCTCTCTCTGCCCCTCCCCCACTCGCATACGCTCTCTCTCTCTCTCTCAAAAATAAATAAACATTAAAAAAAAGACTTTTTTAAAATGCTAGTTCCTCGAGGGGTGCTTGGGTGGCTCCATCGGTTGAGCGTCCGACTTCGGCTCAGGCCATGATCTCACAGTCTGTGAGTTCAAGCCCCATGTCAGGCTCTGTGCTGACAGCTCAGAGACTGGAGCCTGCTTCAGTTTCTGTGTCTCCCTCTCTCTCTGACTCTCCCCTGTTTATGCTCTGTCTCTCTCTGTCTCAAAAATAAATAAATATTAAAAAAAATTTTTTTAAGAACATTGGTGATTCAAGGGAAGAGTTCAAAATAGCAACATGAACAGGATTTTCGACTTCCAACCATCGTGGATGACTTTGAGGGGCTCAAGATTCCAGTGGAGGAAGTAATAGTGGATGTGGTGGAAACAGCAAGGAGTAGAGGCTGGAGACAGGACCCCGTTGCTGCAATGCCATGACCACACCGAAGGGATGAGGAGGTGCTTCTTAGGAATAAGCAAAGACAGCAGATTCTTGGGGCACCTGGGTGGCTTGGTCAGTTAAGCGTCCGACTCTTGATCTCGCGGTTTGTGGGATTGAGCCCCTGGTCGGGCTCTGTTCTTATAGTTCAGAGCCTGCTTGGGATTCTCTCTCCCCCTCTGCACGCTCTCTCTCAAAATAAATAAATAAACTCATAAAAAAAAAAGAAAGAAAGCAGTTTCTTGAGATGAAGTCTACTCTTGGTGAAGATGCTGTGAACATGGTTGAAATGACAACAAAGGATTTAGAATATTTCATACTCAGCTGATAAAGCAGCGGCAGGGTTTGAGAAGACGGCCTCCAATTCTGAAAGAAGTCCTACTGTGGGTAAAATGCTAGCAAACAGCATCACGTGCTACAGAGAAATCGTTCATGAAAGGAAGGATCAATGAATGCAGAAAACTTCAGTGTTGTCTTAAGAAATTGCCACAAAAGGGGCACCTGGGTGGCTCAGTCAGTTAGGCATCCGACGTCGGCTCAGGTCATGATCTCGCGGTCCGTGAGTTCGAGCCCTGCATCGGGCTCTGTGCTGACAGCTCGGAGCCTGGAGCCTGTTTCGGATTCTGTGTCTCCCTCTCTCTCTGCCCCTCCCTCATTCATGTGGTCTCTCCCTGTCTCAAAAATAAATAAACGTTTAAAAAAAAAAAAGAAATTGCCACAATCATCCCAACCTTCAGCAACCACCCCCGTGGACATGGAGGCGACACCCTCCAACAGCAAAAAGATTATACCTTGTCAAAAGCTCAGATGATGGTTAGCATTTTTTAACAATAAAGTATTTTTAAAAAGTTTTTAAAAACATTTTTTTATTAAATTTTTTTTAACGTTTTTATTTATTTTTGAGACAGAGAGAGACAGAGCATGAATGGGGGAGGGGCAGAGAGAGAAGGAGACACAGAATCGGAAGCAGGCTCCAGGCTCCGAGCCATCAGCCCAGAGCCCGACGCGGGGCTCGAACTCACGGACCGTGAGATTGTGACCTGAGCCGAAGTTGGATGCCTAACTGACTGAGCCACCCAGGCACCCCAATTTAAAAACATTTTTAATTTATTTTTGAGAGAGAGAGAGAGAGCGAGTGGGGGAGGGGGAGAGAGAGAGAGGAAGAGAGAATCTGAAGCAGATTTAGGCTCTGAGCTGTTTTTAGCCCAGAGCCCGAGGCGGGGCTTGAACTCACAAACTGTGAGATCATAACCTGAGCCGAGGTCAGATGCTTAACTGACTGGGCCACCCAGGAGCCCCAGCATAAAGTTTTTTTTTTTTTTTTTTAATTAAGACATGTACATTGTTTTTTAAAGGCATAATGCTATTGCACACCTAATAGACTATAGTATAGTGTAAACATAATGTTTACGTGCACCGGGAAACCAAACAATTCCTCGGACTCACTTTATCGAACTGTTTGCTTTAGTGCCTGATCTGGAACCCAACCTGCAATGTCTCCAAGGTGTGGATTTCAGCTCCGTAGGGAGGGACTTGCAGTACCTCGTGGAAGCCACAGGGAGGCGAACCCAGCTCTCCCAGCGCAGTCGCTCAATTTGGCTGACCGACAGGCGGCTTCCTGGAGTGAGGGTGATGGATGGAAAGAGCTGAAACTCCGGTCTCCTGGAGCCAGCCCCTGAGGGATTGAGGGAGAAGCCGAGGTGGTCAACATGGTTCTAGACTCTCGGGGTGTTCCTGGTCCAAGGCCTGCTGAGAACAGCCCTTTAAAGTGTCAGGGCGCCTGGGTGGCTCAGTT